GTGTCGATATATATATAAAAAATTTGCTGTATAAGTTAATTATAATATATATAATAAATAGACCGAGAGAGATATAGAGATAAAAGTAAAGAGAGAGAGAGAAAGAGAGAGAAAGACAAAAGATACGATCGTTCGTGCTAAAAGCATTTGAAAAAAAAACAATACAATCATCTCGATGAAATAATTTAAACGAAGTTAGTTCAATAAAATAAAATAAAATAAGACATACCTCTTTTTTCCTCTCTTGTACAAAATGTGTTGGGTTGAGTCAAAAGTTTCTTCGTATATTCACGAAGATTGTGATGAACTTTAGAAAAATCGCATAATTCTAATACTATTATATTTATTTGGAAATTGCATTTGAAAGTTAACATATCATAGAGTAATTTAAAAAAAAAAATAAAAATTGGTGATATTTGAGATCGAAAGTTACTGCGTCTTGGAGAATGAATGAAAATAAAGATGAAATTGGATTTGTTTGATTTTGAAAAATTGATTATAAAAATTTATATACTCCCTGTAATCGACCAATCATCATTGGAAAAGTCGATATAATCATGAAACAAATTAAACTAAAACCTACACATTACAAGTAATAATATAAAGAACAATATATATATGGATCACAAAAAAAAAAAAACAATTTGAAATCATTTTTAGAAGACTTGATACAAAATATGAACAAGACAAAATAAAAAATAGTGAAACTTGTGTTTCACCGTTGCATTAAACTAAGAAGAAACTTTTTTGTACTCAACCTATAATATTTTATAATAATCATCATCCTTTCTTATATTATTCCCCCTTACCCTCGGGGTTGGGTTGGTTATCAATCTGTAAAAAAAAAAAAAGAAAACAAACCACGAATCTCGTTTATATGTAAAACATAACGTATTAAATAAATCATGTATATAAAATATGTATAAAAATGAATGAAATGGTCGTATAACTAAATAATATAATACATGAAAGTTCTTTGAAGTAAAATACCCGCTAAATTACATACATATGTATATATGTAGATCTATTATAAGGGGTATTTTACTTACTCAACCCTATTATACCCTTTCTCTTTCTCTCTCTCTCTCACCTCCCTCTTTTTGTTAATTAAAAAAAAAGATCTTCTTCGAATCCTCTAATACCATAACAAAACGAAGTACTTACTTTCAAACTTATTTAATTTTATTCGATTAATATTATTTTTTCACCATCCCTTAAATATTCCTCCTCTTTGATTATTTTTTACTTTCGTGCTATATAACATAATGTTCTAGAAAAAAATCTAGTTGAAATTTTTTAAATGCTTAAAGAAATGACGTATTTAAAAGAAAAATTAAAAACTATTAATATGTTTATCGTTTTATATGGAATATTTTTCTTTGATTTTTAACGTGTATCCTTAAAATAAAATATAAACACGTCATAGCAATAACATCTTCCACGAATTTACGAGTACCACGAATGTAAACAATAAAGAAAGATCAATAATAACGGAGGAATATTCAGTTATCGTTTGACTCTTGAACATACTCGACGTGGTGCTTGCATTTCTGCAATAAGTATGTATAATTTGTATGTGTGTGTATATGTGTGTGTAAATCTTCCCTTATATTCAATGAAATAAGTAAGCTCTCTCTTGAAGTCTTTGGAAGTGTAATTAATTTTCTAATTAAATTCTCTTATCGCATTATTCAACAAAGATCGATTTTCATGTGCAAAAAAATAAACAATTACAATTGAAATAAAATTGATAAATAATGATTTATCGTTTCGTCGAATTTACACGTTTGAAAATGTTTTGTTTTATTTCGTTTCAGTAAGAAATAAATAATCGAATATTTGTTATATTAAACGCTATTAGAATTTTGAATGACTGTGTTAAAATATTATTTTACACTTCGTAAAATTTTCGTTTAAATCTCGATCGATAAAAAAAAAAAGAGAGATCCAATTAATAATTGATACAGATTATTATCATAATTATCCCATAACTCGTTTGCACGATTTTACATATTTTATATTCTATCGATTATTTTCTTATAAGCTTATACATCATTATTATATACTATTTTAAAATCCGATGAGAATATAAGAATGATTTATTCCGATCTGCAAATTCCTAAATGAGAGAGAGAGAGAGAGATTAATCGATTCAATTGATTTTATTTAACAATTATTAATAATTGTTTCGCATTCGATTAGAAAAAGTGTGTCACCATCGAAATGTTGATTCAATTAGATACGATTTATTTATTATATATATTTATCAGGTATAGAATAATTATTAATAAAGATGTTAGAAAATTATTTACAGATTAATCTTCTGTTTGATTCGTAGAACCGCGATTTATAATTGATAAGATTATTATCATAATTTGCATAGCTCGTTTTCTCGATTTTACATATTTATGTTCGATCGATTATTATCTCATGCATATATTAATGTTCGCTAATATATAACCCCGGATCGATGTTTGAATAATTATTGTATTAAATTATCCAAATTTGAGATAGTAAAAGAAAAAGATAAATATAATGAGACACGTGTATTCAGTTTCATTTGTTTTTTTTTTTATAAATAATGTGCATTACTTTTGATATAAGCTTATCGATTATTATTTAATTACACACATTTGTGGATCAATTATTTAAAAACCAAAAAAAAAAATGTAGGTATAAAATTGTTATAATTATTATTAAACATAAATTATACCTTTCGTTTAAATATAATGTCAAATTGATTAATCAATCAATCATTATTTCAATTATTATTTAATGAAAAGATCAATATTACTATTTACAAATAATTTGTTATCGCAAAGTGAAATCGATCAATTGTATATTATATAATATTAATGATTAATCAATTTTATTATTGAAATTATTAATATAAATTATTTTGAATAATTATTTATATAAAAGAAAATTAAATTATAAAGGATAAGAGAAATATAGGAAAAACGTATTAGTGTATCGATCAAGTGACAAATTGCATGTTCAATTACTATACTTCCCCAATTACCTTGACTGTTGACATTTTGTTAGAAAAATGTCGAGATTACACGAGAAAGCCTCATCCATTTAATATACTTCTTTTTTTTTTTTTTTATTTAATTTAATTTTATTTTAATTTATTTTACTTACTCATTTACCACTCTTCCACAAATCAATTCTCAAAATCATCCTCGTATATGTATTAACTTAGCTTGAAATCTTATCAAACGATGTAGGAATGAAATATTAAAAAATATCGTTAGTTATAATAATTCCAAGAAAGAAACAAAAAATAAATAAAATAACGCAAATGATGAGAAAAAAAATGTAGGATATATTAATTGCTTATTTCTGTTCTTACTTTTCATAAACTATATCAAATCTATCTTAAAAAACATTCCAATCAATAAAAGTACAAAATATTTGATTATATAAATTATAGAACTATGGTGAAAATAAATACATTTAACATACAAGTTTATCAGAATCAATTAATTTTTAGTTAAATGCATTACATCTTTCTCCTTTCACTTTATTTAACGTAAGAGATTTTAAATATATTCTTTTAAATTAAAAAATCATTATATATAGAACTGAAAGTTGAAAAATAAACAAAATGGAATCAAGCAAAATGTTTGTTATATATTATGCAAATATAAAAAAAAAAATTATTAGTTTGTATTTTTGTGTGCGCATTTTTTTGTTTTTCTTTTTATATTTATCATCGAGAGATTAAACTTTGTTTAATGTAAGGCGTTGTGTTAGGTATATAAAGTTTCTATTAGATACATTATTTATATATGTGTGTGTATATATACATAGCTCTTATTAGTATATTTGCATACTACATATTTGATACACGTTTTATTCTACCAATGAAAATATAAATATTGAGACAATAAGATTACTGTATATAATGTGACGGAACGCATGAAATTTATTATTTTTTTTTTTTTAATTCTGTGTTTCTTTTTTTTTTCTTTTAAGTAGAAAACCGCATTTCCAGCAAAAGAATTTATTCCATAGATTACATTACAAAATATTACACCCCATTTTCTTTCTCTGTGCTGGAAAGCCATTGCAAGTGGGGTATCACTCAGTAGTAGCCAGTTATTAGCCATCGTCATTAACTTTATCAATTAAAATAGAAATGTTTCAATATTTTTCACCTACTTTTGCCTCATTCTATAATCTATATAAACTTTCCTTTGTTGAATAACATTATTACAGATAGATGAACCATATCCTCTGCTTCTCTCGAGTGTAATTCTGTTATTTTTCTTTTATTTCCCCATTACTTTAACTTCATTTTCAGCATGTATAAAGTTAGTCGTAACAAAAAATGAAAGCTAATAAAACAATACTTGCTTTTTAAAAAATCTTCGCTCTTTGTTTCAAGATGTCAATATAATATATATAAATATATATATATACACATGCATACATATTTATATGTTTATATGTATATAAATATATATATATAG